TGAACTCCACCTTTTCCTAATTATTTCCAAGACGTTCAAACAGTAATGGTTTATAAATGAAAGTGATGCTTTTCTAGTGGGGAGGGGAGCTTTCTCTCTCCAGTACCCAGGCAGGGCAGCTTTGTCCCTGGCTCTTTCATGACCCTGTGATTAGGCAAAGGAGAGTGTGGTTCTGAGCCAGGCAGAGGTGAAGTGAAAATGGCATGAAAGACATTTCCTGAAGGGAGGCTGTGCAATAATGCTCCCAGGCTCCTCTCCTGAGGTAAGCAATGGAGGTAAAAAGGCGAAAAGATTCTGCAGCAGATTCCCCTTATCTGAGGGCATCATGTTCCAAGAACCCCAGTGAATACCTGGAGTAGTAGAGAGTACAAACCCCATATACACTATGTTTTTTTCCTCCCAGTTTTTCCTATATATCCATACCTGTAATAAAGTTAAATTTACATATTAGGCACAGTGAGTGACTGACAGCAATAAATAATAGTAAAATAAAATCATTGTAATAATATTCTGTAATAAAATTTATTTAAGATTTATGAATTGTTATTTCTGGAATTTTCCAGTTAGTATTTTTGGACATGAATGACTGAAACAGCAGATACTAAACACTAAACCATGGATAAAGTTTGGTGGTCTGTATTTACTATTTGGAAAACTGTACAGGAGTTTGAGTAGGTACTGAAGTAGAGAAGAAATGGAAAAAGTTACTGATAACTATCTTTATGAATATAAAGATAGCAAGTAAAAGAGATGTTAATTTGAGTTTTCTAGGCCATTGGGAAAATTTCTTTCAATTCTCATAAAGTTTTTGTTAAAACAGAATCTCTATTTTCTTATGTCTGAAACAATAAGTCAGTACATTGCCGATAAGATATCATAAAAATAAATAAGCATATTGCCAAACGTTCATTTATCTTTCAGATGTAAGAACTATTAAAATAAATATCATGACTTCCTTGAACTGTTCACCTCAAAGAAAACATAAAGAATGTTGAATATACATTCTAATAAAATCTATGCATCTGACAAATAAAATGTTCAACTTTTTAATTAATTTATGGAACCCTTAGATGGAAACAAAATAACTAAAAAAATCACAGCATCCAATTATGTAACTAAGAAACATTTGGATGTTATCTGTACTTACAGCTTTTAAATTTAACCCCATGTCTGTATGAAAAGATGTTCAGAACAAACATCTACTCTTTTCATTTCTTCTCTCACCCTTCATCTGAGTAGATTTTATTTATGCACTAGACGACCTTTTTGGCCATTAGAACCATCTTGCTTCAGCAGTTAATTAACACAAGTACCATAATTTAATACAGTTAATGCTACTTGATGCCCTTTAATGTACCTTCCATTAGTGATATTATTGTAGTATTACCCTGTAAATTAAAATGAGATCAAGACTAAGAGAGCTGCTCTTTAATTAAGGAACTGGCACACTGCACTCTTCTATTATTCACTAGAGAAAATCACCCTGATTTACTGAAGCAGGACATCCATAAGTCAGAATTAGCCCATGAAGATTATTAGGTTTATTGAACAATGTAAGTACTACGGAGTCACTGAGATTGCCAATAGCCATGTTTCCTCTTTCCCTCCATTATCTTAATAAATACACAATGAGAAGGAGTAAATGAAAGCAAAATAAGTATAGCAAAAGAAGAATAAATTACTTATGATGAGATTATGGTTTTTGTAACTAGTAAAATAGGTATCACATGTATTACATACTGAAAAGAACATAAATGTCACATTAGTCTAATGACAATCAAAACATAATTTTCACACCAAATGACACCAGTCAGTATAAAGTAAACACATGCACAGAAAATGTAGAAAATTGGAATTCACAGCCACATTAAACAAAGATATCTAATTATTTTTGTTTCATAGTTTAATATTTCAAGATGAAACATTTTGTATTCTTTTATTCTATGAATGTTTCCATCTGGACTCCATTCCACTATTTAAAAACGACTCATATCAATTTCCACATTTTGGTTTTCAAAGTAACAAGTAGAAAAATATCATTATCTTTATCAGATACAGATGTGTAGGTAGAGGCATGTAAAATGTTGCCATCATTTCATGGGATGTTGGGGTGGGTAAATGAAACAAAGACCTCAGTTATAATTTTGGAAATATATATGTATGATTGTTTTGGAAAATAATATTTAGAACTTTCTTTTCAAATCATCAATCAATATTCAAACCTCTATAGGAGATTTGTTATATAGGAGAAAGACCATCTATGCCGTTAATCCTACTGAAATTTTCAAAGGTAAAATAATTAGTGTCTCTGCTGAAAGGCCTATGAACCAGGCTATTGCTCAGTATTCCCTTTTAGTGGCTCTATCATGAGCAGATCTTCCTTATATAACTTGAAAGCTGGAGACACAACGGAGCCATCAGGCTTTGCTTCTTTGGTCCCTCCCCTAAGACTAAAAATACTCCAGCCATCTGGTGCCTAGTGCAGTACATGCCAGCATTGGTTCCGCCTTGAGGAATCTGGACAGAGTGTGCAGGTGAAAGAGTGGACCTCATGGAAGAGGCTCACCTCTACTGGACCTTTCTGTTTTGCCCAGCTGCTTCTCACTAGCTTACAGTTGACTGGTGAACAGGAAAAGACAGTGGAGGTGAGTCCCAGAGAAGGGAGGAGGGCTCCTGCAAATTCCCCAGAATCACAGAAATGCAGGTGAAAGGATGGTAGGAAGATAAAAGAAAATGATAAACTTAGAGGGATTCTGAAATTTCTAACATGCCACCTTCAGATGGCCTATCTGACCCCAATGGAGAAGGCATAAAAATGTCTTTACTTTTAAAATGTATTTTATATTTTTCTTTGATCTGATTGTTTCTTCTAAACCATTGATTCTTTTAAACAATCAGATGAAAGATAAATGGATACCCAGTGCCAAAAATAAGCTCCAACAATGGTGTTTCCCAGCCACAAGATTTGTTAAGAGTGCCTTCTTGACAAGTGGAAGGGCAAGTGTTTGGAGGAAGTTGGGCTATAGCAACTTGGACTCAGATTAAGGATTTCTCAAACTGTAGGAAGCTGACCTATATAAATATACCTAGCAATGTAGATCATACTAGGATTCAAATCCAAATTATTAATTTTGACCTTTAATCTTATAGATGAATCGAATACTTACTACTTGATTTAGATATACTATTGTTAATAATATCAACATCAATTATTTTCATATATGTACTCCAGAATAAGATACTATAAATTAATAATTTTTTTGCTAAAATGTTCCTAAGCATAATAATGGCTGCATTTTATTATAAACAGCAAACTCATGTTCAAGGCAACAGCTCCCTATCATACTGTCATAGTTCCCTGCTAATACATGAACTGCTCTCTATACCCTGGAACCTGCAAGCTTGAAATACAAATGTATCAGGGCATATATCTCTCAAAAATATTTGACTTTAAAGATACTTTCATCATCCATCACCAAGACTTTAGTTAAAAGTTTAAAATAAGGTTCCATAGTTACAGTTTCTTTCTTCCTTGAGGAACAGAGTTCCTGCAACTTCTTCACAGCTAAGATCCTGATACCAATCTGAGAGGTTGTGCCCATCACTCTAGTCTGGGTACCCACTAAGGCCCTTTCCTTAGCAGCAGAGACTTCTTCCTCATTCTAGCATTACACGAGGTAAGTCTCCGAAAGCCAGATCTCAACACTTGTCCAGTTTTCCGAGGACCGGGCTGCCCTAAGGGATGCCAGGAACCAGAAAATTGAATGAATCCTGTCTAAATTTTATGATTATTTAATTAAACCAACATGACGAAGGTACTGCTTCTATTGTTATCCTCATATATTATGACTTCAAGCTCTCTTGGCATTTTTTAGAGTGATTATAGCTTTACTTGCCTTTCCTTTATTTCCATTTTTATGAATTATACTCTTACCTTCAGTTTTCCCCACTCACTAACCTAGGCTTCCACTTTCATTAGTTGGCTATTTTGATACTATGCCACACTTGCAAAGCTGGTTGGGAATATCTATGTTGGTAGTCCTGGTTCTCATTATTCAAATTTGTCATTGAAACAACTTCAAAATTCTTGGAAACTTCATTATGTTTCTGATATATTGTCAAAAACAAAGACAGACATTTTTATTTGTTCTAAACAGTGACCATTAGTATTGCAACCCTGATCCTTCTGTGATTGATATACAAAATGAAGGGCACCAATTCAAGTTCATATTTTAAATGTGGCACATCATTTCAATACAAAAGCGCATCCAAAAACCTAAGAAGTAGAACTTGTCCCTGCTTAACAGATGCTTTATTTCCTAGATGCTTATGGTTCTGATTTAATAAATGTAAAGAAATATAGCTTTCAAATCCAGATTTTTTTGGTCCAATATAACAAATATGAACAGATTGATGTACTGTGAGTTACAATCCTCCTTGCATGTAAAATTACAAGATCTATTTCTTGTTTTTCAGTCCTTTATAGGACAATAGAATTTAATCCCTAAGTTTTAATTGCCTTAATGACAAAAACTAAAAACCTCCTGACCTAGGGAGTTCCTTTGTCTTAAGTAAGATACCCCCTCTTTTTGTTTTCATTTGAATTCTTAAGAATCCCACCAGGCTGGGCTGGGTCTGTAGCTCAGTGGCAGAGCACTTGCCTAGCATCTGTGAGGCACTGGGTTGGATCCCTAGCACAATATAAATATAAACAAACAAAATAAAGCCATGTTGCTCATCTACAACTACAAAATAAATAAATAAATAAATAAATAATAATCCCACCAGGCCCACCAGGTTTCACGGCAGCATGTCTGAGATTACAAATTACTGCTGAGTCCAAAGGATCTCAAATACCTTCAGAATGTACCAGCACACTGGTATTCCTGAGAAAATGTTGCAACAGAAATTGACAAATGCCATCTTAGGAACTGCAGCCTCAAAACACTGGTGATTCCTTTGAACACACCCATTCCCAATTGAGGCAGACATTCTCTTACCTTCCTCGCACCTTTATGTCTGAGATGGCGTAAAAGTAGCGTGCCAGGTGTAGCTCATCTACAAATATTTCCCCAACAGCTGGCCTCAGCAGCCTTATCCTCAGGTCTGTGACTGTGAAGAAATCTCTGAGTTTCTTGGTGGTATCCAGCTGTCCGTAGAGGGAAGCCATATTCCGTAGCCGAGGTCCAGCAAAAAATGCGAACCTGTCTTTGATTTCGAAGTGGATTATTTTGCTATTCGTTGTATACCCCGTGGAGTACTCTTCTGTGCAAATGATTTCCAAGACGGTGTGTTGTGATAAATCCTTCACAGATTTGGGGTCCATGTGAAAAGCATCCAAGCAGTCTGTGGCATAGTACTGATAGGGTTGCCATGTGCGTCCATAGTCGAGAGATTTCTCCAGGATCATTTGATCTGGACGCCCCGATTCAAAGGTAATAACTATGTTGTCTGTGAGCTCAATGGTTTTACTCCAAGACAGAGTGATGTTAACTTGGAGAGGCTTGGGGTACTCTTTCCAAGTAGCAGACTGCCAAAATGTGGAGGGGTGTCTTCCTTCAAAGTCAAACATCAGCTCAGGAGGGTGTGCCAGCTCAGGGGTGCTTGCATCGCACTCATTATTGCACATGTAGGGATTGCCCTGTGGAGGAAGAACAAGAGGTGCCACATTAAAACACGGGGTCAACTCAGGTCTTGCCATGTTGCTGTTGCTAAGAGGCATGAAAAGAAAAACATTCTCAATAATCATTTTTATTTGTTTTAAACAGATTATCCTCTATAATAGTTTTTTTAAGAAAAAAACAAAACACAATAAATATGATAATTTTCTGGTCTTGTTTCCTTCTACGGACTTTAACAGTTTTTTATCCCATATGTGTTAGATCACAGAAACACTAAGACACAGAGCAACCGTCTAACAGCTCAGTACCTCCGCTCCCTCTTAGAAAGATGTTATGGAAGAGCAAGGGAAATTCCCCCTGCCTCAAGGACATTGCTTAAGAGCATAGTTCCTTAAAAAGTCATTTTTCAAGCAAGATTTTAGAACTATCCATGAACCATAAACCCATGTCCTGCTTGACAAGCAATGCCCCCATGCAATGTTCAGTTTCTCTCAGCTTTGCCTCCCATCCATCATACTTAACTGGGTCTCTGCTTCATAAAGTCTGGTTTTAAAACATTTACTTTATTCACCACAAATCATTAAAATGTGGTACACTGCAGGCTCTGGGGCTTGGTCCAAACATCTGCCATCCTATTAGCTAGAGATAAGAGGATTGCTCAGGAAAGACTTGGGGTTGGGGGTGTGTTCCAAGAAAACCTGCTATAATCATCCCTCAGTGTTCATGAGGGACTAGTTCCAGAACCCTCATTGACACCAAAATCTGCAGATGCTCAAGTGCCTTGTATAAAATGCCATAGTATTTTCATATCACCTACACGTATCCCCCCACATACTTTAAATCACCTCTAGATTACTTATAATACCTAACATAATGCAAATGCTATGTAAATAGTTGTTGTTCTCATTGCTTAGGGAATATTGATGGGAAAAAAAATCTGTACATGTTCAGTACAGAAACAGATATCAGAGGCCTAACCACATAGTGCAGGAATGAGATGGGGTGAACCATGCTCAAACAATGAGCACTGGAGAGACTGAGGATTTGGGAAATGGTGAAGGCCACAGTAGCATGTACCCACATGTCACCTCATTGGCCTGAATTCAACACAGTTATCAGCACACAGCAAATTTAGATTTGTTTGGGGACCTTTCTGAATTTTGTTTTTTCAATACTTCCAACCCATGGTTGGTTGAATCTGTGGAATGCAAAACACTAGGTCGTGGAGGGCCAACTGTATAAATAAGGACGGTGTTGCAAACCAAACTCTGCGGCAGCCCATAGCAGCCCTCCATCGATGTTAATTACTATTATCATTATTCTCCTTCTGTCAAAGGCTACTTCCCTTTCAATCCAAACAAGTAACTGGAACTAAATCTTATTATATCACTGTCACAGTGTTATTGTAATAACACTGCTTGTGCTACACTAAGTGGCTGCTTGTGGCTTTCATCAGGGGATCGTATGGAGAATGACTGGCTCCCCATTTTTATTTATGTTATTTTAAAAAATAAAAAATAGAATTATTTGGAAGCCACTACTCTGGTCCAGTAGTCCCTCCTTATCCCCAGGGGATATTTTCCTAACCCCTCAGTGAAAGCTCGAAAACACAGATAGTACTGAATCCTCTAAGTATATCTTTTTCCTATACATACTTACCTATAATAAACAGTAATTTATAAATTAGACACAGTGAAAGATTAACAACAGTAATTCATAATAAAATAGAACAATTATAACAATACATGGTAACAAAGTTTATGTAAATGTGGTCTCTCTCAAGATGTTTTATTATACTCATCCTTTTTGTGGTGATGTGAGATGACACAATGTGAGGAGAGGAAGTGTGTGAATAGTAACCACACACCTTGTCACAATGACAAGGTGTGTGGTTACTATGCCCGGGCACCTGGACACAGCACTATAATATCAGGCAGTTGATCTGATAACTCAGACCTTGGCTAAATGACAAATGAGCATGTAGTGGAAATAACACGGGTTCTCTAGGCAAAGGGATGATTCATGGCCGGGGTGGGATGGAGCAGGATGGCAAGAGATTTCATCACATTACTCTGAATAGTGCATAATTTAAGACTCATAAGTTATTTATTTCTGGAATTTCCCATTTAATATTTTTGGACCTTAGTTGACCATGGATAAATGAAACCATGGAAAGAGGAACTATGGATAAGAAGGAATGACTCTCTCTTGCCCTGTACCAGGTGATCCTACGTATGGATGGGTAAAAGAATCTACCCTTTGACATTGTCCTTAGACTGTCTCTTACAATTACAATTAGATGTCCTTTGTCTTCTTCGTGAACTTGGAACTTTTTTCATACCTGTTGGATGCATGAGATGAGTCTCAAATAATGAATATACACTTTTGGTATCGATGCTCAGTTACCTGCTGACTCCTATGAAATACAAGATGAACATTGGAGAATTGCTTTGGCCTCCCTAGAGGCAACTCTCTCCTACCTAGTCAGCTAATACTCTCAGTCTCTTTTTCCCATTAATGCAATTGGATCTTAAAGTTGGCAACAGGTCTGGGAGACTCAAGTATAATTGAGATGAGGCAGGAGAAAGGGGAGAAGGTACATTATTTGAAGAACAGAACTGTTTTAAAAATATACTCAAGAAATCAGTGATAATGAAAATGTTTCTGTACTTCTCTCTCAAATTTCAATTCCCTATTCCTGATCCCAGCGTCTGTGACACTATTTATAGGTATCCCCTTCAAAATGAGCCAAGGGGGTGGGGATAAGTTTCTGTTCCAGGTGGAATAAATCACCAAATTTATTATTATTTAAGCTCTCTTAAGCATACCAGAGAGCCAAATGCAAAGCTCTGCAAACTGGCAAAGGCTTTTTATGGAGGGCTATAAATATTGTGGAATCTGTCAGGATTTATAAATTCTAAATATATGTAAATGTGCATTTTACTGGAAAGGGTCAGATTCACACAAATCTCACCTTCCTTTGAAATTTACCAAAAAAAATATGGTCACTTCAAAATCTGTCAGCATGCAGCCATCTGCACAATCACTGACTTGGACACTAACCCCCTTCCTCCTGAGGAATGTGTCTTCATATGAGGTCAGGAGTGAGGGAACGAAGGGAACCAGCTCTGTGGGGTACACCAGAGGGAGCCAACAGACATTTGTATCAAGTCATGTTGAAATACAGCATTTGTTCACCTTCAGCCTAGGAACATGGAGCATGAGGACAAGGTGCTGGGACCAGAGGACAAGGAGGCACAGCCAGCTCTTCTACAGGGAATGGGGTGGGTACCAATCCTAATAAAATGAAATGCTTGAAGAAATCTATCTCAAATGCATTTATATATTCAGCATATGGCATTGACAATATCCACCATTTAGTCATCCCTGATGTGTTGGATAGTTTACTTGTCTTAGGAAAATCCCTTTCATCCCTACCTCACAGAACAGGAAATCAAGGCATAGAGAAGTGTTAAGGGACTTGCCCAAGATCATATAGCCGACCGTAAGAATCAGAGCCAGAACTTGTTCTCCTACCCCTGCCTGGTCTGCTCAACACCCAACTCAATGGAGTCCTCTGTGTTGTAACACTCTCTTAGAAACAGCAGTCAGAAAGAAAATGGCTGGGATCAAATGTTTGAGAAAAAGTGTCTAAGAGCTTGTCTTAGCCCTGATGAGCATAATCATACCTCTGGGATACCTTGAAATTAAGATCCTTGCTTAGCTGCACAAAATACACTTAGTTTCAAAAACTTATTTTGCCATGGAATCCCTATTTAACTTAGTAACCCCTATTGATATGCCACAGAAATTGTACCCTGTAGGGCATCCCCCTTTGAGACTCTCTATATTTTCTTATAATTGTAAACACATGGAGGTCAGACAGTACCTCACAACCCAGTATTAATCCTTTAGTGAAGACATGGCCACAAGAAGCTCTAGGTCTCTGCTTTTATTCCATAGGGAGGGGCACCCTTCCCCTTGGGCTGAGCAGGACGGCCAGCTCTGGGTAAAGGTTGACAAGTCTTTATGACAAGTCTCTCCTAGCTTCACACAGATCTGGTGCTTTAGGCATCTGAGAGATGAGGGCAAAGTCTCATTCACTCAACAATTTTTTATTGATTGCCTATTATACAACAGTATTTAAGGAACTTGTCTTGGCACTTGATATAACAGTAAATAAATTCAAGTCCCTATTTTTGTGGTGTCTCCATCCTAGTTGGAGGAGATGCATTAAGCAAACAAACATATAATGCTTTATAATGGCCCATGGTGATAACTGCCATGGTGAAAAATAAATCCAATTAGAGGGATGAGTGTTAGTGGGAGGGGATGGTGATTGTAATTTTATATTAGGAGGTCAGAGAAGGTCTCTCTGATAACATGACATTTGAGCAGATTAAGAACAATTCCCAATTTACACTGGAGATAATCAGAGGAGGTTGGCCAGAATGACAGTTTCGTCCTTCATCTGACTCTATTCTTACTGATATTTTCAGCAGCATAACAATTTATTGCAATCGATGGGTAAACAAATCATTTGAAATGAGAATCTGTACCAAATGACAAAAGATACCAAAAAAAAAAAAATCAATTGGACCAGTCTCTTCTTTTCAGAGCATTTCTACTCTTTGGGGAGATTAATGATTTGATTGCCATTAACATAATTTACCTAGAGACAATGACATTGTGAAAAAATTAGCAGAGGATTCAAAGAGAAAAAAAGTAAAAGGATTTCTTTTGGTCTTTACATTTTAGGTGGAGAAAAAGAAAAAGAAAGCTAAATCTTATTCCTGATACAGAAAGCTAGAGGAGAGATTATACACTAAAATATTGAGTGTAAATATTTCACATGGGTATGATCTGTAATGCTTGTTGTTATAGAGAATTATCAATATGAAAACAATTCTTGTTAAAGGGATTAGATTAATTACATTTTCAACTACTTCAACTCCACCCTAATCCTTTTTAATAACATCAACAATGGAATTTATATAAGAAAAAGCAACTTTCCCCTACT